GGTAAACCTTTTTCTTCAGCTCGAAATTGATCTTCGTGAGTTGCGGGTTCTCTTCGTAGAGGTGGGAGAGTGTCGTCCTTGGCTTGGGCCATCTCCTTCTCGAGCTCGCCTGAACCGTTCAGGTCCTGGCCGAGCATGGGCACTGATATAGCCATATTATCATACACCGACTTTAAGTATTAATTACTCTACCAAAGGGTAAATTTACATGTCGACTTTCTTAAGTCGACTTCCTTAAAGACGACTCCTCTCGCAGATTACCTAAGGAAGGACCTCTTTTTTGCAAGCCGACGACTCGCATACGATCTCTGAAAAGTCAACTTCTGGAGTCGACCTTCATTAGAAAGACGAGCGGATGTAGCGTAAAAGTCTCCAAATGCAATCCCACGTATGTCCTAGGTCGACTTATTAATGCTCAAGGTTGACTCTTCGTGCCTCGAGATCTAAAACGTTCTGACGACTCAAGACACTTGCAACATCCCTTGACAAGTTATCTAAATAAAGGCGAATCTGTATAAGATAAGAAGGGATCTGGCGCTGATTATGAGATAGACGGAACGCGAACCGACCAGAGTAGTTTGGACACTTCATATAAGTCGGCTGGAGCATTTTGGGTACTTCAAGTAAGTGTTTTCTTCTATATAAAGGAGCTGAAGTAACCTAAAACACTAACTTTCACTCTCTCTATTCATTTCTTACTGCTACTACTTCCTAATGTTCTCAAAATCGGGCCGGTCATCGAACCGATAAAGCTACTGGTTCAATGGTCCACTAGTCGGACCAGTGGTCGAACCGGTTTAACTAATATATAATTATTTAATTATTTTATAAGTTTAATATATAAATATATATATATATATATATATCATTAATTTTATAGCATATAATGACATTTTTCAAAATAAGAGTTGATAAATCAATATTTCAAGTATAGTTTACCATAAACAATACTAAATAAAGTTCACTAAAATAATAGATTAATAATTCAATATCTAAAGCAAGACAATCTAAATTACAAATACAAACTATAAAGTCATCAAACATCAAACTATATCCAATCCAATATTACAATTCATCAAACATCAAAATATTATCTCACTCTTCCTTTTTTTTTATTTCATCATTTTTTTTTTTTAATTTCAGAACTGGTTCGACCGGTCGAACCGGTACCGGTTTTACCGGTTTTGAACCGGTTCGATACCGGTTCTTGCTCCCAGCGGCCCAAACATGCAAACCGGACCGGTACTAGGTTTGGTTCCCAGTCCAACCGGTCGAACTTGTCGGTCTAGTCCGGTTTTGATAACATTGCTACTCCCACTGAGCATGGGCTTCAGATTAACACAACTTAAGCCCACATCACAGTTAGGCCCACAAAAGTGTCTCGCTTGATTGAATGATAGACGATAGACCTCTGTATTTTATCCGTACGCTCGAGCTTTCACTTTCGGATCACCACCGACCATTTTCCGTTGTACAATTGCTTGCTCGATGGCGGATTATAAGGCCTCCATCATCGACGGCAAGGCAGTCTCCAAAATAATCCGATTCGAAATTGCCAACGACTTCTAATACTTACTGCAAGGTTCTCTTGTGTAATATTAAAAATAATGTTTTAACGATTCTTTTTTTGTTTTTGTAAATGTTCAACTCATATCTCTCTTATATCTAGTCTCTTATTAATATAAAGAAGTTTGGGCACTGTACACTAAATAATTTTTTAATCAATTCAGGTTGCATATTATATTGACACGTGTCTGAATTCTTTTTTCTTTTGTTTTTGTTTTTCCACTAAAAGAGATGAGAAAATACAACTTTCTTTTCTTGTTTATTTATTAAATCCTTTAAGGCCACGTCTCCCACTAGGGGTGTTGTTCGGATTGGTCCGACTTTAACCTAAATCATGACCAAAGCAAACTTAACGGTTAATTTTTTTTTTCTTGTTCATAACTGGACCGGTTTTATTTTTTAACCAGACACAATCCGGATTATATTGCACGGTCCAATTTAGCGGTTAACCGATTAAATCCAATATATATGGTTTGGGGCTTCAAATTTTTATTTTTTTAATTTTGAGCTTAATTTTTATTTTTCAATTTTAGGCCCAAAAAAAATTATTTGGGCCTATAAATTAAGAAAAACACCAATAATGAAATAAAAAATACACAGTTCATCTCATAAGTATAAAAATACACATTTCTTCTCATAAACCTAAAAATAAAAAAATGATGAAGATTAAATTATGCAAAATGCCAAAAAATGAAAGTGAATATATTGTATTTGTTGGTCATAGTGAATGACTGAATGTGTGTGTGTGTGTATATATATATATATATATATATATATATATATATAACATTTACCAGTCCGGTCCGGTTAAACTAGCAGTTTGCCACATGTAATCTGTTAACCAGACCGGTTATTCTGAATTTTTAAAAAAATTAACCACCGAATTTTTTAAGACTTTTTAACCGAACATTTAACCGATCCGCGGTTCGGATTGACGGTTTTTTCCGGTTAAAACCAGACCGTGAACACCCTTATCTCCCACACAACTAATTTGTTATTTGGCCAGGGTGGTTGGATCCAAAACAGAGGAAGGTGAAAAAATTAGTTTAATGGTAAAATTTTTCATTTTTGTATTTTTGGTTTTAGATTAAGAGTTTCAGTGGTGGTTCTTATAGAAAATTTCTTTCGTTTTTAAATTTTTGGTTTTAGATCTATTGGTTAGGGGTTTCAGTGGTGGTTCCAAATGGAAGAAAAAGTTCACGAGCAAACTTTGAGAACGATGTTGTATCTTCGGCTGATGCAATAAATTGTTGCAACAAACGACCATGAATGAAATCTTCTAACCAATTAATTACAACAAATTATAGTTTTTTTGGGAGCTTATCAATCACTTACCACTAGATTTTTCTTGAAAATGTTAAAATCTATATTAGATTGACAAGTGTGTACTTTTGAATTTGTAAAATAGATATGATTACTTATGATTTGTCTTTTTTACTTATCATATGGTTATTTAAAAAATATATTTCTTGGTCAATATAACCAAATTTGGTACCA